CTAAAATGCAATTTTCCATCTTGCCCATATGCCTATTGCCAATAATAATATCAACGCTTTAAAAATCCTTGAATTTTTTTCCTCTTTAAATATCAATTCATGCAATCTATCCCTAATAGATACTTTGTATAAAAGCAAAATAGTAATACTTACCTTATAAGTATAAATAATAACATTGCAAAAGTCAAATGATTGCATAATAATCTGCTGCGAAATAAGAAATACTTGCACATGTCACTTGGTGGCACCAACTGGTCTGAGTCACCATTCATAAATACAAGATATCCGGGTGTCTCTGTGTGCATGGAGATTTGGGTGCTTCGTCATGCGGTTTGGGGTGGGTAAGTAGTTTCCATCTTGCCCTCCCTTCCCCTACCTGAGTTTTGTTGGAGAATACATATTATATGCTAATTGAAGAGACAAAAGGGCCAATTTTTACTATAGGACAACATTTTGAATCATAATTTTTATTTCAAAAATTGAAACCATATATTTAGAAAAGTATGTTATATCCAAAAGTTCTTTCTACATTGGCTTTAAGCACCTCCTGTTTAATTGTGATCATCTTGTATTTTAATTATTTGTAATTTATTCGTTTTATTTCAATTTAATTATATATATATATAATTAAATAAATAAATAAGGTAAATAATATATAGATGTGTGTCATGGCATTCAATATATAAATGGGATTCCCAGGAATTTGTCTCATTTTTCAGGAAATATGTTTTCATTGTCACATGTTTTAATATTCTTTGGTAATGAATGTTTTAGGATTCCTGGATCCTGAAATCCTGGGAGCCAAACCCTAGTGCCAAATCAATCCAAGATTTTGGAAAAACTTAAGCCATCAGTTGAATGTGAAATCTTTTATATTCCAAGAGATGTTTTTCAAAATGTGATGTAACTTTCAGCTGATTTTTTTAAATAAATTGTTTTCTTTACAAATTTTATTTACCTTTACTTTATGTTGATAAATTATAGAAATTCTTTATACTTGATGTAAATCAAAAAAGTTGTTTAAGTTAGTACTTTCGTAGTTGGGTCAATAAGTCTCACACTTACCAGGATGAACAAAGTGCTGACAAAAAATTTAATTTAAATAGCTAATAATATGAAGAAACCATTATACAATGGATGTTAGATGCATATGTACAGATATAGTAATATTGTTTTAAAATTTGTTTCAGTTAAAAACATGGAGATGCAGGTAGAATATCATAGTATTATAAAGTTTTTTGTGCTGCTGAAAATAGACAATCGAAAAATTCATAAAAAGCTGCAGCAGGCCTATAGGGAAAATTGTTCATCATATAGCACTGTTTATAATTGGATTAGTGAATTCAGACAAGGATAGCAGTGTTTTTGACCAGCCTAGAAAGGAAGACCTGCAGAAATTTGCAATAAAAAATGTGAGCTGTGAAAGAAAACTTTGAAATGCAGACACTGAATCAAACTAATGGAACTTGCTGATCTGCTGCACATTAGGGATTTTATTCATGTTCAAAGCTGTTAAGGGAAAATATTTCTTTTTCTCCAACATTCTTTAAAAAGATATTTGAAAATCTTGTCTGCTCTGGAGAAGTGTTAAGAGTAAAGTGTAAAGTGTGTAGAGCAAAATAATTCATTAAGATGGAGCATTAACAAAGCATTTGTGTGGTGTACAGAATTGTGTTCATTCTCAAAATTTGATCAATCAATTTTGATTAAACTTTGCCATTTTCTATTCATTGCAATGAGGAATAATATTAAGTGTGATAAAATAAAGAGGTCCATGACTTCATTTTGAAGATACAGTGGTGTCAAAGTGATAATGTCTGTGCTAACTGACACAATTAAGTGCATCTCATGGAATTTAGACATCTAAAATATAAATAAAAAACTTCATTGCATGTGCTTATCAGAAAATGAATGGAACACAATAACAAAACAATTGATGTCAATTGCTTTGTTCTTAGATTATCTCTCTGTGGCTTGCAAGTGCATGGATTGCCTCTCTCGTGACCTGCAGGTGCAAGGATTACCTCATTCATGGCGGCAGTTGCAAAGATCACCTGTATGTTCCCTAAGTGTAAGGATCATTTCTTTCATGCCCATTATTTGCAATTCTTTACAGCTCTACCTCAGTTCTATCATGATATGACAAAGTCATGTGATGTCCCTAGCATATTGAAAAATAAATGTATATAATAATGCTTTTTATTAGTAAAAAGTTTAGTAGTTTTCTGTTTCTCTATCTTTTGTGAATCCAAGGACTTATTAACCCAACTACATATTAATGCATTTATGGCACAAATCTCTTGGAATTTTAATATTATGTTGTACAAATTCTTGTTTTATGCATCCTCTTCCAAATGTAATTCCCATATAAATCATACTCACTCACTAAGTCAACATTTCATTAATTTTCATACACCATAATAGTTAATTGATTCTAATATTCTTATCAACAGTCCATCCATGTTAAATCAGTGATTCTCAATGGGGCACGTGGAACATTTCAGGAAGGTCACAGAAAAAAATGTGAAAGATTAGAGGTAATGGGAGTTATAAGGGAGTCAGCTAATTTACAAAAAATAATATAAAAGTTTATTTTCTACTTTGTTCAAACTACAGTAGAGTCTCGATTATCCGACGGCAAATTTCAAATGTCTGCTAGTGATGTGGCGCTACAATATTTGGCTGTCTTGGCTACTTTAATATTATTTTTACGTGTTTTAGCTGGCAACACTCATTCGACCATGAAAGGGAGCCAGTATTCAAACGAGGCTTAATTTTCAAATTTTTAATGATACAATAGCGACGATTATTATTTTAAAAAATTTTTGTTAGGCTTAACATCAATGAAAATTCAACGCAAAGTAGGTTAATAGTGATATACTAATATACTAATTACATGGGATATAATAATATACTACACTAGTAATGGATTTTTTCATACTTTTCGGTTATCCGACTTTTCAATTATCCGACCAACCCCAGTCCCCAATTGAGTCGGATAATCAAGGCTCTACTGTAATTCTAAGTGTTGAAAATCTAATAATATGAAAAACATAATTAGAAAAAGAAAATTTATATGATGAAATAAAAATGAAATTCTGAGATCTGTTAAAAATGAAAGTCTCGGAATGGATGATAGAACTATTTGGAGTAAATGTGGTTACTGTGGATCTGAGCATACAAGAATGTCTTAGGATCTTGTTTACTGTTCAGTAAAAATGTAACTTAGGGAGCTGAATAAGCCTCTGATGGGGTCACAAGACAAAATGTTGAGAACCACTGGTTTAAACCATAAGATAAAAATGCAAATTTATATGAATATTTGAAAAGTTATTAAACACTACACACCCTTTGATACAAATTGCTCTGAAGGCATTGATTACCCAAATTATCTTGGCTATCCAGGTAAGAAAATTTCTACAGTACATAGCATTAATATCTTTAATCATGAGGTAACAACAAACATTTAAATAAAAAGCATTAATATTAATTCTTTTATAGTTCAGTTTCTTAGGAATCTGTCTCAGTTAAATACAATTATTTATTCCTTAATTTGCAACTCTTCATCTAATGACCCTGAAATGGGAGAATGTAACCCTAATGAAAATTTGGCTTAACTATGTATATTTGATAAATTTTCATAAATTTTGACATAATAATTTTGGCTTAAAACAGCTGGAAGCATTAGATATCTAAAACCTTGTGGAGAGTTAAATCTACAGAAATGTATTATTCTTGAAATATCTTATGCTGTTTTATCTTTAATTTATGTTTTTTGGTATTTATTTTATTTTGACTGTTATGTTTAAATTTTATAAATATGTATTCTAATGGCTTTGAATTCTATGATTTGAAAATATTATTCCTTTTTAAATTCTGTTATATAGTTGCAAGGATGCAGAATATATCTGATTGTATTAACAAAGTTTGGAGAAATTAAAACAATTCTGAGAAAATTTATAGTAGAAAACATAACATTACAGTAATAGCCAAAAAATGGAGTAGTATCTTGACTGATGTTAATTGGGGAATTTTCTCAAAATGCAGTGATCTTGTGTTTTAAAAGTGAAATTGGAACATTTTTTGTTTTTTACTTTGTTTCTTACCAGTTCAGTCACTTGCTACATCACTGCCTTCTTACACAGTTATATGCTTGCAAGTAATGATAAGTCAGTCTCAGTTATGGATTTGATTTTGGGAATGATAGTTAATTTGTGTGTTGTTTTTGATCCTGCTTCTATTATGGAAGTACATTTGAATTGGTTAAGTCTTTTTGTTGGGTTGTTATTTGTTCCTTTGTTCTTTTGGATTGTTCCTTCTCAGTATTTGGTTGTGAGCATATCGAGGGATTGCTCAAACTATTTCTTACGAAGTAAGCTTTGCATTAATTTTATTTTCTGTTCTTCTTGTTTCTTCCTTCAATTTTAAAGAAATTCAGTTTCGATTTTTACAAAAAATAAAATAGAACCAAAAATTTTTATGAAAAACCTAAACAATGTTTTAAAAATAACTGGAAAAGAGAATTGTTTCCATAGTAATTGTAAAAAGACACTTTATGCCAACAATCATAAAATAATTAACACAACTTAATTATCCTAATAAATTGTAATTGTAAGCCGCTACACCGTTGTTAGTTATTTTATTGAAAATCTGTTTTTATTTTAAAACTTTTTTCAACATTTAATGGGTGAAATTTTTTGTTTGCTTGATTTAAGATAAAATATTCACAAGTTTCCAACACAAAAATTTACAAATTAATAAACTGTGTTTAAAAACGTTTTCTGAATTTTCTTGAGTAAATAGCTAAATAGAAGTTTTATCATCATTTTATAAACATTTGAAATATTATAAATATTTGAATTTGAAATATTTCATAGCTATAACTTTAAGTACTTAATCTAAATACCTAATATACTTAATTATGATTTTGTATATCTATAAATTTATTCTATTATTTTAATATTTTAAGTAATTAGATTTTTTAAATTTTCATTTTTCAGTTCCTTCTGAAAAAGCTCCTTATTATACACATCTAGGTACTGGTCCATCTGTAAGTGCTATTCGCAAGTTAATGGAAGAAAGGTTAGAAATGTTTTATATTACAATAAATAAATAAAACCTACTTACTTGAGCCTCTAACCGGTGTGTAGAAATACAAAAAATAAACAACTTTGTATAAACAAATGTTTTCCGAACACTGTTTTATATTATAAGACAGATTTGAAATACTGTCTCAATCTTTAATTAATAAAAATACTTTTCACAGTTTTATGATATTCAAGTTTCAATTATACACATACAAAATTTATATATTTTACATCATGTAAAAATTTATGGAATATAAATTATAAGTAATGATATGATAAATATTAAAGGAGTCAACAAGTTATATAAGATAAAAGGTTTTTGAAGTCTATGTTCATCTCATCATCAGTTCTCTAATGTAAACTTTAGCATTAAGAAACAAAAGACAAAAATATTTCAAGTGTTATAGATTAACAAATTTAAGTATGAACTTTTAAAATGTATTGGGTTGTTTGGAAAGTAATTTCGTTTTTTTCCATGGAAAAAAAAACAATATTTTTGTAATAAATAAATATTTTATTGAATTATATATCGACTATTTTGGTCAAATATCTGTTGTCATCGTTTCTGGTAGTAGCATAATTTCACATTCATAAAAGTTTTGATCGTTGCGTATAAAAAACTGATCCAAGTGATTTTTGACATTGCCATTTCAAGTAAATGTCTTACAGTTAAAAAAAAATCTGTATAGACCGGAACAAGTAATAATCTGAGTGTGCTCGATTGGCGAATATGGTTGGTGTGATAGCACGTCTCATCTAAGTTATAACAGTTTCTGACAAGTTACCAAATTTGTGTGAAATTTGACATTATCGTGGTAAAACACCACCTGTTTTGTTGATCAATTCTGGCTGCCTTTTCTGTTTGATGATATTATTCAATTTGTTTACTCGATGGCAGTACACTTTCGAATCGATTGTTAAATTGTCTGGTAAAAGCTCCAAGAAAAAAAATTTCTTTAAAATTCCACCAAAGAGAGCATCTCTCTTCAAGAACATGTGGAATCCATATATCAAGCTTTGAAACAAAACCAATTTGTTTCAAGTAATCATAAACGGTTCAATTTGACAAATTTAATCTCTTAGTGATTTCACGTGTTGTTATTCGGCAGTTTGCTTCAATCAGTACCTTTATTTTGTTTTCATTGGCTTCAACTGACCATCCAGAACGTGGTGCATCTTCAATATTGAAATTGCCAGAA